TTTTGATTTAAGTAGCCTATTATTAAAATGATTCAGATATCGCATGCCCTTGCGATATGCATATTGCGATATTTACATTTGTGATATTTCAATAATTTCGATATATCGTGCAGCCCTATTTCAAACAGTAATGAACATGCCGCATATTATTTCCAAAAGGAATCATTTGCACAATCAGCTTCTTTAGTAAATGTGTGGATGGATGCTGTTTTCACATCATTGCATGGTTTAGATCTGATACCCCTATAGGATTTATAGCTCAAAGCCTGTGCAACGCAGCATCCTTGAGACAATTAGGGGGGAAGTCAATATTTGGGGGGAAGTCAATATTTAGGGGGAAGTCGTGGCCTAATGGTTAGAGAGTCGGACTCGTAACCCAAAGGTTGCGGGTTCGAGTCTCGTACCGGCAGGGATTGTAGGTGGGGGGAGTGAATGTACAGCACTCTCTCCATCTTCAATACCACGACTGAAGTACCCTTGAGCAAGGCACCGAACCCCCAACTGCTCCCCGGGCGCCGCAGCATAAATGGCTGCCCACTGCTCCGGGTGTGTGTTCACAGTGTGTGTGTGTGTTCACTGCTGTGTGTGTGCGCACTTTGGATGGGATAAATGCAGAGCACTAATTCCAAGTATGGGTCACCATACTTGGCCACATGTCACGTCACGTCACTTTCACGTCACAATGACTGAATTCTGTGGTCTGAGAAGATATGCATGGTGCATGACCTCATTAGAGCTGAAGATGAATTTATCCGAGATCATCTATTCTTGGAATGAACATCATTTAGTAAATGACTACTAACAGAGCAGACAACAGTAGGGATCTGTACAGCAGAGCTCAAGAATAAGTATAGACATTAGATAAACCTCAAAAAAGCATCTGTCTGCAGGAATACTATCATTTCCTAACAGAATCCAGACAAGCCGAAGTACAGGTTTTAAGCTTTTCTTGATTGATGATACATAGTAAAGAAATGGCTTTTACTGGTCAGGAACGACCACCAGCAATATTCATGTGCAATATTCAAGTGAATAAATGAGAGACAGTGTCAAATAAATACTATTAAATAAATAATTAAAAAGAATACATAAGTACAAAAAAATTTATTTATAAATAGTAGCGCTGGGTTTTGACAAATTTCACGATTCGATTCTACTCGGACTCACAAGCTTTCATTTCGATTCAATTCACTATCGATTATTCTGTATATATATCAGGTACAGTACATTGCAAATTTTCTCAAGGAAAAAAAACTCTACTAATGCTATAAAATGTACATGAGAGTCAGCTGGTACTACATACTGAAGGTTAAAATTAACTGATTTATATACAAACACTTAAAGGGGTCATAGGATGCCCATTTCCCACAAGTTGATATGATTCTTTATGGCCTTAATGAAAAGTCTGTAACATAGTTCTCAATGGTAGTGTAAAAAACAAATTTTTTACCCTGTAAAAAACAGCTCTTTTCAGAGCACGCAGTTTTGTAGCATTTTCCTTTAAATGTTAATGAGCTATGCTGACCCCGCCCCTCTCTTCCGAGCTGCTCTCTGAGGGACTGTTTACTTTAGCCGCATTCATCGTGAAACTTGCTAATTAGCAAATTATTAGGAAAGGCGATTTGCAAAGATTCATTAAAAAAACCTTACACTCACTTCTTCTGTAGGTGAAGCTGGATCACGAATGAATCGCGCAAACATAGACGCATTTATGTAGATCGGGGGCGCATTCTCTTCAAAAACAAATGTAATCCACTGTCTTCAGCGGCTCAGATGTCGAGAGTAAATGACGATTGCTATGTTCATTATTACATCCAACAACAGAACACCTCAATCGCTTAGGAGTCATTCTTGTCTACATCTGCTCCGTCGGTGAAACAATGGCGGACTGATGACAGCTCACTCAGGGCGG